AAAAATATATATATATATATATATATATATATATATAATTTTTTATAATATTAATAGCAAAACTTAAAACTGTTTTGTTTAAAATATTTGTATAATATTAATTAAAATACATTAAACTGTTTTAAAGGAAATCAAACACATTATTAGTTAAATAATGACTGTTTGTCCTTGACTGCTTGCATTTCCTGATATTTTTGTATTCTTTGTTATTATAGTATTTATTTATATTTTGAGCTGACTTTTAAAAATTTTAAATATTATTATGTTAAACTTTTTTAAAATATTTAGTTGTTTATTTTTATTTTAGTTATGTTATTATTTTTGCTTTCAACATTTGTATTATAAAACAATTATATATTTATATTAGATTTTATTTTATTTTTTTATTTCAGTTTTACATTTATTTATTTCAGTAATTTCACTGTATTTTATTTCTCTTTTTTTTTGCGTTTTTTTTTTTGCTTAGGTTTTTTTATTCGTAGCAAAATAAAGACTTTGACTGCTAGTCCAAATTTCTAATGCATAAATGTTCATTTTCATTTTTTTAATTTAAAACGTTTTTTAATAGTTTACAATTTCATGTGACCACTAACCAACATTAGAGAATCATGAGCATGCAAACATGTTGTTAAATTATTATAATATTAATATTATTGAATATGAATATTACTGAAATATTAACTTTTTAATATTACTTTATATGAATTTAATCTGAATCTAATTTTTCAAATCAGTTGTTAGCTAAATTGTGACTGTTTGTCATCGTTTTGCTAGTTACTTTAATTTCTAGTTTAAACACTGCATAATTCCAACATATTTCTTTAATTCAAAAATGTTTTCATAAATTCGTAAATGCTTTAACCTCAGATGTTGCACATAGGAATGTCAGCAAGGAAATGTATTGCTGTAAATCCATGTCTAGTTTCTCCGGCGTGCTTGTTGTGTCAGTGATCTTTGTGCTTTGCTGCGCAGATGAAATCCAGATATTTTGTTGCATGTTTGTTTTGACTAGTCATCGTGGCTCAGTTGATACCTGCGCTGCACGGCGATGTCTGCTTGTCCTCACAAACACTTTCTTAAATAAGCACTGAAGTCTCTCAGATGGATGCAGTGCCAGTGGAGAATGAAACGGGTGGAAATGAAGGCAGTTCGCCGCCCGAGGCCGAGCACTCATTTCATGGGAAGTACTTTCTAATCAAACAGACAAACGCTGGCTGGGTGAAGTTGGAGAAAAGCGTCTCTGATGCAAGATTGGGGTCGTGTGTGTCACGGACAGCAGGGAAAATGCGTCCTGCAGCTTTTGTTGTGGCTGTCAAAGGTTGTGCGTCCAATCAAGCACTACAGCGTAAACTCATCTGACTCTCTGGAGGATCTGAACTCCACCGTCAGCCTCACGTCTTGCTCAACAATCCACTGCAAACTCAGAAAATACTCTTTTCTTGCAGAAGTAAAATGATCGTTGTGTTGGTTTTAAGTCCCATCGATTTTTGATTTGTCGGAAATACGTTTTTTCTCTAAGCTTAGTGACTTTTTCCTCATTTAGGTTTGTGAATATAATTGCAAAGTGGACTGATGTGTTAGTTATGTCAGTTTCTACAGGGCACATTTGGATTTGCATTTATGCATTTGCCTGACTTTTATCCAAAGCGTCCACTGTGTTGATGGCATGCATTTTTAATAGTTTGTGCATGTTAATTTCACTGGGAAGTATAGCCATTATTAATGTTTCTTTAATTATGTTTTAACCATTAACCAACATTAGAGAACGATAACATGCAAATATGTTGTTACATTATTGAAATATTAATATTATTGAATATTAATATTGCAGAAATATTAACTTTTTAACATTACAATTACTTAACATTAATAATAATTTAATATTTGTATAATATTAATTAAATTATACAAATGTAATTTAATAATTTTTACAAATATAATATTATGCAATATTGCAAATATTATGTAATAAAATTATACAAATAATAATAATAATAATAAAAACTTAACTGGTTTTAAAGGAAATCAATCATTTTAATATTAATTTTACTTAACATTATTATTAATTTAATATTAATTAATATTAAGATTAGAATATCTGTATGATATTAATAAAAGTCAAAAAGACAACAAAAGATTTTCAAAAGACAACAAGCACATTGCTAAATAGTGACTGTTTGTTTTTGATTAGCTACTTTGGTTGCTTGTTCAAATTATTAATACATAAATGTTTCTTTAATTCAAACTTTGTATTTATTTATTTAAAAAAAAAATTATTAATAACAATAATAATAATGACCACCATTAGGGAACTATGAACATGCAAATGTGTTGTTAAATTATTAAAATATTAGTACTGTTGAATAATAATATTATCAGAAATTCAATTTTTTTATATTAACGTATTATATATTTATATAATATAAAATAATATTATAAAAATATTCATATGAATTACTTAATAATA